CAGAGCTATCCTCATGACTTTGTAAATCAACCATATTTATATCTATCCCTGATTTGTGTCCATATTTCCAGAAAATACACATGAGGGTAAAGCAACAGTAGTGTACAAGTTGGTAACTTGATCCACCACAAAGAGAATCCAAGTGTATTTAACCTGCATTCATTGATCTTTACCAATTGGACTGTAAATACAGCATCCTGGCTGTATATATCAGTGATGTTGCACTGGTGATGAAGTTATGTGCCATAAACAAAACAATGAGCTCATATTGGTTGGGTGACCACATCATCCCTGTGCTTGTCTTTCATATTGATTTTATTTTATTGATCACTTTAAGATCTTGTACCAAATATCTTTATTGACTTGGTATGTGCCCTCTTGACCGCTGAGATCCATGGATGGAGACCTGTTGGTTACTGCTATTCACAGCATAGAAAGATGAATGATGTGTCTGCGGATACGAAAGCTTCATGATCTAAGTTATTTGGCCATTCTGTTCTTCCCTGCTCATGTTCCATTGTCTGATCCTCCCTTTTTCTCCTTGTCTGGTGTTATTTCTTCTTTCTAAGGCACTTTATAACATTATTAAATGCACTATATAAATAAAGTGTATTATTTTATTATATTGTTATTATGATACGCTCAGTAGAGCTAAGGGGAAGTGAAGAGTTGGGTGATAATTCTTAGCATGTTTATTATTCATGCATCTAAGCTGTAGAAAAGAGGCTTAGTAAGGGACAAGGAGTCGTCACTGTCCTTGCCTTCAGTCGTTCAGTCAACTAACCTCAGTAGATCTACTCCCCTTGTTTGTTAAATTTACATGGTGCATGGTGGAAAAACCCATCAGAGAACAACAAGAATAACACAGCCTCTGTTGTGTTTACATGGACACAAAGTTAAAGTAGAAGCTTTTGTGCAAGTGTGTTGTGTTTGATTTTGAGGAGTTAGCAGGATGAAAGAGAGAAGGGAGAAGGAGAAGGATGACTGGGAGTGGGAGGAGGGTATAAAGGGAGGAGGTCAGGAGACGTGAAGGGTGGAGGGAGAGTGAAAAGAAAGTGTTGTGAGGGGGTGGAGAGATGGAGAAATGAATGCAGTTTGTTGAGGGAGGTGGAGAGGGATGAGGTAATGAACTGTTGACCAGAAATTGATTTCTTTCTTCCTTCCTGTTCTTTAATTTCTTTTCTCTTTTCTTTCTCCTTACTGTCCTATTTTCTCTCTGGCATGCACACTCTTACTGGACTTCCAAGCTTTGCTTTTGTTTTCAGTAAACAGACACACACACACACACACACACACACTGAGCCCAGTGTGATTATACAGCCACAGATGGTCTATCAGAGGGGAGTGTATGAGTATTTCAAGCAGTGATGGAAAACCGTGGGGAGACATAGTCTTTTGTGTGTGTGTGTGTGTGTGTGTGTGTGTGTGTGTGTGTGTGTGTGTGTGTGTGTGTGTGTG